AGTAATATCAAAGTCGTTTTTGTATAGTTTACAACATGAGCGGCCGTGTTGTATGGGAATTACAATCTCGAGCCGCAGGCGAGAGATTGTAATTCCCATACAACACGGACGCGAATGTTGTAAACGACTTATAAAACTCCAACACAAATTAACATGAATTACAATGAGATAAATGACGAAAAATGACAAATAAGGTAACTGCTGAGTTTAGTCCCTATTAAGCATGCGCAATTTACTGCAACACAGAACATTTTGAATAATTATTCATCCCACATGGAAAGCAAGCCATCTGTTGCATAAGTGAGTTCTGTTATCCRTCTTTGATTGCTTCAAAACCTAGTGAAGGTCTATGATGCGACACTAAAACTGAGACCTTTGCTAGTGTTGGGTTGTCTCAATGATGACAACCGTATCAGATTTACAAGGTCAATCACCTGATTAATGGTCAGCCCTTATTGGAGCAATAGCTTATGCATTATTAATAAGTTTTATAAGACCATAAAAACGATACATATGCCTTTTTTTGGACCTTGAAAACCTTTGCCAGGAACAAAATTATTTGAAAGAAGCAAGGGCACCACATTTGCTTGTCAGCTCCTCCTGAAAGTTTTTGACTCGCTTGTGCTTGTTTTATAACTAAGGTTTTTTTTCTTTTCGTTCCTGATGATTTCGATGCTTAGAAAAACTTTCTAATTCTAATTTTCTAAATATTCTAATGAACAAGGGTTATATCTGTATTTATAAATTTTTTGATAGACTAACTCCCGCTCTGATTTGATTGCCTGACGACCGTGTTTATATCAGAGTACACGGCTTACCGGCAAAATTTGTTTTTCGCTCAAAAACACTACGCTCGTGTTTGTAACCTTGCTTCTTTCGTGTTTTTCAACTCCCATCTTGTTTATAGCAGAGGACAGAGAAACCCGCTCCGTTTTATATTTCTTAAATAGACCCTGATTGAATATGTTGAATATGGAGATATATAGACCTTTGTATTATAATGTATCTGAAACCGATATAGCACGAATAGCAATGAAAACCGATTCAATGAGATATTAAGTTTAAAATGAATTCAAACAGGAATTCTTTGGGTCGAATAGCTAAGGAAGTTGGAACCGAGAAATACGTGACGTCATGGTAGAAACACAATAAACACGGCAAACTTGATCTTTCACAAGAATGCTCATCACCAAAGATTGGTATTGCTAGAACGTCTTTGTATTTCACAGAATATAACTGAACTCAACACTTTATTGCCACTATCAGAATAATTCGAAAGTCCTTGTAATGAAAAACGAAAGAGAGAATATAACATCATTTCAATCCCATAGCTACTACTTAGGAAGTCCAAGTAATATTAAATCGTCCGTTGTAAAACATTTTAGGCTAATGATATCATTCCACACTTACACCGGTAACAAGTGTGAAAAACAAGTTTTTGTTATCCGTAGCATCTCAGTTTACCAAGTGTGTGATAGGCTTGCTCGTTACTGTCACCAGTGTCACCAAATCGTAATTGTGATACAGGAAGGGTTGTTTTGTCAGTTAACACACCGCTGTCGCTACGCCAGCCAGTACCGCTACTACCACAATTACAACCACCATTGCTGTGTGAACACGAGTTGGTCATACCGCATGCGCACTTCTTACTCCCTGGTGTTGCTCCTCCCCAGTAGTTCTGACGTACACCGTCACGTGATACCCACTAGCCATAACTCTCACTAAGAAAAGCGACATCATTTTTACACTCAAATTTAGTTAACTGTTCACAGTTTGTTGATATTTGAGTCAGTTTTGCCAACTGAGCCATCGATGCACCATTGTAACGAACATCTTTACTATAAGAACCTGGCGATTCATAACCATCCACGAGAGTCCTAGCCTCGCTATCATGACTGACAACAGTTACTCCCACTCCTCCCTTGTCAGTCATGTCACAATACACAGTGAATGGAGACTGTCCTGATTGTCCATCGGGATCTATGACAAAATTTCCTGATGTTAAATTCTTCTTAAGTTCACTACAAGACTTTGCATTATACCTGACTAGTAATTGAGTTGTTGTTCAAGTGGATCGATGGAAGTTTCTAACGATGCATGCATAAGTACCACTATCTTGAGTACTAGCTCTAATAATGGACAGAGTTCCNATACATAGTTTATCTGTAAGGGACTGTGCAATAATTACCAGGAGGGGGGGGCGTAAAACCAGAGGGGGAAGCATTACATAAATTGATGGCAAGATAGGGGGGCTCAAAGTAAAATTACCTAATTAACAGAGGGGGGACCTTAAGTTTCATTCATGCTGGGAATCGCATTTCCAAGAGTTATTTCCTTCAAATTTTGAAAAACTTTTTCAAAATTTTCTTTGGGAGGACCAGACTCCCTTAATACTCCCGCCTTTGGCGTTCGTTAGACCCCCAGATCCAAAATATATGTCGCGGTCCCTGACATCCGCTTAAAAAGTCTACGCTACGCGCCTGATTAATGGAAATCTAAATTCAAAGACTCATTGATGTGTGATTGAAATTGACCAACATATGAATTTTTTTCAACTATTGATTTTTTCAATTTTGTCACATAAATTGAGGATGTAGTTKTCACATAAATTGAAGATGTAGAAGCTGAAAAACATATTGATGATTTATTGGACGTAAAAAGCACAAGTAATATCAAAGTCGTTTTTGACCATAAAAACGATACATATGCCTTTTTGGACCTTGAAAACCTTTGCCAGGAACAAAATTATTTGAAAGAAGCGAGGGCACCACATTTTCTTGTCAGCTCCTCCTGAAAGTTTTTGACTCGCTTGTGCTTGTTTTATAACTAAGGTTAATAGTTGGGGGGGTTCGACGTTATTTCTAATATAGCAGAGAGGGGGGGGTCAGAGCTATTTTCTTGTGCTTCGGAGGGGGGTTCTAGCTAATTTTTTGCTTAAGAAATCTGGTTTTACGCCCCCCCTCCTGGTAATTATTGCACAGTCTCTAAGAAGACAGCCAATCAGATCTCGTCTTTTATGGCACGTTAAAGATTGTAGGTGATTGATTCTGGTTACAAAAACATGTTGTGGAAACATTAGTGAAATAGTTTTGTTAACTTTCGCGGATTTAACTTACAACTATTGATTACCTTACAAACAAGATATAGAAATATTGAATAAAGTAATAAAAATGAAAATATTAATGCAGTGCTTGGAAAACGTCTTCAAGTATAAAATAAGCCAGTTGTCTGAAACCGATATAGCACGAATAGCAATGAAAACCGATTCAATGAGATAATAAGTTCAAAATGAATTCAAACAGGAATTCTTTGGGTGGAATAATTAAGGAAGTTAGTACCGAGAAATACGTGACGTCATGGTAGAAACACAATAAATGCGGCAAACTTGATCTTTCATAAGAATGCTCATCACCCAACATTGGTATTGCTAGAACGTCTTTGTATTTCACAGAATATAACTGAACTCAACACTTTATTATTATTTAAAAACGATACCACTATCAGAATAATTCGAAAGTCCGTGTAATGAAAAACGAAAGAGAGAATATAACATCATTTAAATCCCATAGTCATTACTTACTTAGGAAGTCCAAGTAATATTAGATTGTCCGTTGTAAAACATTTTAGACTAATGATATCATTCCACACTTACACCGGTAACAAGTATGAAAAACAAGTTTTTGTTATCCGTAGCATCTCAGTTTACCAAGTGTGTGATAGGCTTGCTCGTTACTGTCACCAGTGTCACCAAATCGTAATTGTGATACAGGAAGGGTTGTTTTGTCAGTTAACACACCGCTGTCGCTACGCCAGCCAGTNGATGGTAAAACCATTATCTGCGCATGCTTAGTCACTTTTCCAAGTATATTCTCAGCTTTGCAGAGGTAGATTCCACCATCYTCTTTCTTAATTTCTTTGATCAACAAGCTGCTGTTTGATGATAGGATGGTTCTGTTTTTAGGAAGGTCTCCTATGCTCCTGGTCCATGATATGATAGGCCGAGGAAGGCCCAAGGCACCACAATGTAATGTAACATTTAAGTTCTCTTCAAGATCGTATAAGAACAGTTATTTAAAAGAACAGACCCCGTAGGCTCCTCCTGACTAGTTTATATTTGATATTATAATGTAGTCAAGCATGTATGTTGTTGCCTATTGCCTTGTGTTACGACCATGTGTACTCCACGGGAGTGGGGTTTGGATTCTTTCTTATGCACTGAGAACACTAGATTCGGTTTAAGATATGATTTTTATCCACAACAATACGGCAGTAGTTATTCAATAATACATCATTGAGTATCATATAGAAAAAAAATCAATGTATTGATTGTAATCATTAAAATACTATCCTTCAAGACCACACAATAGAGTGCAAACATTAAATGTGTGCAGCACTTACCACTAATTACTACAAAATAGTGTTAATTAAACGATAGAAAACAATAGAATTAGCATAATTTAGCAGTATTTAGTGGTATTTATGTTGCACAGTTTTAGTGTTTGTACTCTAGAGAAAAAACACTAAATATGTGCAACTTTTTGCACTATTTACTACTAAATAACGTTACTAAACAATAAAAAGCAATACAATGGGCATATGTTAGCAGTAATTATTGTTAGCAGTATTATCCTTTGTACAGGTTTAAACATCATGACGTCGGAAATAGGCGAGAGACAACTGAAAATCTCCAAAATGTCTGACAATTTCCAAAATGTCCGAGGATGATATGATTAAATGAAATATTTTTAAGTGAAGTTAAACTAACAATATAGCTCCATATTGTTAGATCRTGCACGCGTTGGATTCGCGCCCTCTTCTACTGTTACGCAATAACTTACGTATAAGCAAGGAAGTCATCATTCAGTGAGTGGGATGTAATCACCCTTGATTTAGTACGCTGTTCACTTAGATTGCACTAGCGTCATTTTCATCCGTCTGTGAAATAGGAATTGTACTATTAAATACTATTACCCCCTATTAGCTCCCAATAGTTTAACTTATAACATGCGACAAACAAATTAGACAAAAATGGTTTTGATATTGCCTTTTGCTTGGTACTATTTTACTATTAAACACTGACTAGTAGAAATTGTTTCACAGACGGATGAAAATTACTCTACCTGAACTCGACTTCAAACTTGCTAAATATATGTTCTGAAGTARTTAGGAAACTTTCATACAGTCATTAGCAAACATTCTGACCGTCAACAAATATAATTATATTGGGAGCATCATGGGTAATGTTGTAGTGTTAATTCCCACTGAATTCTCTCAAATTTCTTTCGTCTAATCTACAATATATTGCGCTATTTAACACTGTCTGGTTAATACTTTTTCATAGAGTGATCGCACTTAAATCGTGCAACTGTACAAAATCTAAGTAGTACTAATTTGTACTARAAGTGGACCTGAAGCAAGACGGTATTGAATGCTTCATTTGTATCAATTCAATTTAATTTGCGT